TGTAATGCAACGATTTGGTACTAATTGGCCGGTGGATTGGATTCAACAATATCCTCAGCTGCAGAGTGTTCTGATTCCGTTTCCCAGTCAAGTGGAGGATAAGGTCARATGGCTTGATAAWAAACTTTCTCGGGTCGATTTTGAGGTAAAATTGGCTTGGAAAACTATCCAAGAGGTGAAGCTGGTTGTGCATTGGTATAAACTAGTTTGGAATAAAGCATACGTTCCTAAACATGCTCTTTGCATGTGGGTGGCTTGTCAGAAGAAATTGCCAACTCAAGATCGTATAAGTCAGTGGAAGCACGAACCGCCAGATTTAAAGTGTGTGTTTTGTAAATTAGTGATTGAAACGCACAATCACTTATTTTTCGAATGCAATTACTCAAGCAATATTTGGGAAGTTATTAAAATGGAGGTGGGATTAACGAACTGTCCAAACAATTGGGAGGATATTCTTCACAGAGGGTCCACTCAAACTTGGAAATCTTGGTTTACGGTTCAAAAACTTGGTATATCGGCAACGGTATATAATATCTGGAGGGAACGGAACAGGAAGTTCTTTGACAATTTCAATCATTCKGGGGATAAAGTTATTGAGGAAATCAAGATGCAGATTCTTCATCGGATGGCTTGGAAGACAAGGAAGAAGGTAATGAATTCCAATGTTATTTGATTACGTAGGTGGTGTGCCTTCTCGGTTTTGGATCTCATGGGTTTTTCTTGCCTTTTGCTTTTTGGCTTATGGTTTTCTTATGTTTTGGTGTAATTCTCTTTGTCATTTTTGGCTCCTTATGACTTGGTTTGTGAGTCAAAGTTGCCGTAGTTTTTCTTGTTGATTGCTTTGTATCGGTGACGCTTTTTACTGTCTTTATAAAATTGCCTGGGGAAACTCTTCCCCTTTCAGTATAATCTGTTGGTCCGTCCTTCTATGGTGGATTGTTCTTTTGTTCACTCTTTATCGTTATTGGACTCTCTGCATTTGATCAGGCCTATTAGGGATATGGAAATACAGACTGCTCTATTCGATATTGGGAGTGACAAGGCACCTGGACCTGATGGGTTCTTGTCAAAGTTCTTTAAAGCGGCTTGAAGTGTGGTTGGTAGGGATGTTCTTATTGCGGTACATAATTTCTTCTACTCTGGAAATTTAGAGTACCAGTTGAATCATACTTTACTTTGTCTAGTACCAAAGGTTCCAAATGCTTCATGTGTTACTGATTATCGTCCCATTGCCTGTTGTAATGTTTTGCTGAAATGTATCATTAAAATTATTGCTGATCGGATGAAAGGCTCTTTGGATGTTCTTATTAGCAAGGCTCAATCTGCGTTCATCCCTGGACGACAGATAACTGATAATATTTTTATGGCGCATGAGCTTGTAGCTGGTTATCAAAAACCTCTGTGGGAGCCAAAGTGTGCGTTTAAGATTGATATTCGGAAAGCTTATGATACAGTTGACTGGCAGTTTCTTCTAGAGATGCTAAAGGGAATGGGATTTCATCCAGTTATGCTTAACTGGATAAAGTCTCTAATCACTTCGCCTTCTTTCTCTATGTGTTAATGGACAGCCGGAGGGTTTTTTTCATGGTAAGCGGGGTCTTAGACAAGGGGATCCATTATCTCCTTACTTGTTCACGGTGGTTATGGAGGGTTTATCGTTGCTTCTAATAAAATCTATTGAGGAAGAAGTTAATTTTGCGTACCGTCAAGGATGTGCTGAGATCAAGTTGACCCATTTATGTTTTGCGGATGATCTGTTTATATTTTCCCGGGGGGATGCTACCTCAGTTGAAGTGATAAAACGAGCTCTCCAATTGTTTGAGGATCGTTCGGGTTTGTCACCGAGTCTTGAAAAAAGTGAAGTGTTTTTCGGGAATGTGGGGTTGGATGTTCAAAATCTTATTCGCAACTGCTTACCTTTTCGTCCGGGGGTGTTTCCTATTCGCTACCTTGGAGTTCCTCTCTCTCCAATTCGTTTAAAGGTACATGATTTCAACCCTCTTGTGCTTAAACTTAAATCTCGATTATTGAACTGGAAAAACAAATTTCTTTCTTATGGGGGAAGACGACAGCTCATCATCTCTGTTCTTCACTCTATGCAAACCTATTGGATGTCGGTATTTCTAGTACCGGCAACAACTATCCATGAAATTGAACAGCTGTTCCGTAATTTTTTATGGAATAAAGCGGAGGGTGAACTGGGAAAATGTCCAATTTCTTGGGGATAGGGTCTGCTTACCTATACAAAATGGTGGTCTTGGTATGAAAAGACTAGCGATTTGGAATCAGTGTTTACTTTTTAAACACATTTGGGATATTCTTTCTCGAAGAAATACCATGTGGGTCTCTTGGATTTAGTCTCATTGTATTCAGGGCATAAATTTTTGGATTATCAAGAAGAGGAATGAATGGTCATGGCTTTTCCGGAACCTTTTAGAGTTAAGACCTCATTGCAGACGGTTTTTTATTTACAATGTGGCAAATGGTTTATCTACGCACGCTTGGTAAGACACGTGGAGTGAGTTTGGTCCCCTTATTCAATTGCTGTCTTACAGATTCATAAATGGTCATGGCTTTCATAATAACTCTACGGTATATGATCTAATGCAACGGTTTGGCACTAATTGGCCGGTGGAATGGATACAACAATATCCCCAGCTGCAAAGTATTATGATACCACGTCCTAGTGAAATTGAGGATACGGTCAGATGGCTTGATGCTAAACATTCTCGGGAAAAATTTGAGGTAGAAGTGGCATGGCAAACATTACAAGAAGTGGGGCCGATTGTGCATTGGTACAAGATGGTATGGAATAAAGCATACATACCTAAACATGCTCTTTGCATGTGGATGGCATGTCAGAATAAATTACCAACCCAATATCGCATTAGTCAGTGGAAACATGAACCCCCGAATTTGAAATGTGTGTTCTGTAAATTAGTTATTGAAACGCACAATCACTTATTTTTTGAATGCAACTACTCGAGTAGTATTTGGGCGGCTATTAAAAAGGAAGTTGGATTAAAGAATTGTCTGAACAAATGGGAGGATATTCTTAATAGGGTTTATCACAAAGGTGGAAATCATGGTCTACGGTTCAAAAACTTGGTATATCGGCTACGGTATACCATATATGAAGGGAAAGGAACAGAAAGTTCTTTGACAATTACAACCATGCTGGAGACAAAGTTGTGGCGGAGATCAAGGTACAGATCCTTCAATGAATGGCGTGGAAGATAAGGAAGAATCACACGAGAATCAATGACGTGTGATAATGTGGATGATGAAATTTTCGGTTTTGGAAGATGTTGGTGATTTGCACCATTTATTTTTTTGCTTGCTTTAATTTTACGTTTTGGTGTATTTCTCTTTGTCTTTTTTGGCTTCTTATGGCTTGGTTTGTGAGTCAAAGTTGCCGTAGCTTTTCTTGCTGATTTGCTCTTTGACAGTTTCACTTTTACTTGTCTTTATAAAATTTTCTGGGGAAATTCCCCTTTCAGTATACCCATTAAGGTCTGATCAAACTAAATATGACCGAATTGGTGTCATTTTGACGCAATTAGACTCCTTATAAAGAAATGGGCCTTTCAAACCAATTTGGGACCAATTGGATTAATTATGATCCATTTAGTGTCATTGTGACACGAATGACTCGACTAAAATAAGTACGCTCATTCTACCTACTGGGACCAAATGGACCAATTAGGACTCTTAAGAACCATTATGCCTCAATTAGTCGCATTAATATCTAGAATAATAATTATGACCCAATTAGGGTCTAATGAGACTAATTACGACCTACTGAAAGGGGAAAAGTTCCCCAGGCAATTTTATAAAGACAGAAAAAACGTCACCAAACAAAGCAATCAGCAAGAGAAACTACGGCAACTTTGACTCACAAACCAAGTCATAAGAAGCCAAAAAAGACAAAGGGAAATACACCAAAACAAAATAACACCACCCGCCCAAAAACAAAAGGCAAGAAAGACCCAAAAAACCCAAAACACAGAAGGGTCGCCACCCACAGARTCACATATCATTGGACTTCAAACACTTCTTTCTAGTCTTCCAAGSCATTCGATGAAGAATCTGCATCCTGATCTCCGCAATAACTTTATCCTCCGAATGATGGAAATTGTCAAAGAACWTTCTGTTTCGTTCCCTCCAGATATTATAAATCGTAGCCGATAAACCAATTTTCTGAACCGTAGACCAAGAATTCCAAGTTTGAACGGATCCTCTATGAAGAATATCGTCCCAAATGTTCGGAACAGACGTTAATCCCACCTCCATTTTTATGCCTTCCCAAATACTGTTAGAGTAAGAGCATTCAAAAAATAAGTGATTGTGCGTTTCAATCACTGATTTATAGAACACACACTTTAAATCCGGAGGTTCATGTTTCCACTGACTGATACGATCTTGGGTAGGCAATTTCTTCTGGCAAGCCATCCACATACAGAGAGCATGTTTAGGAATAAAAGCTTTGTTCCAAACTAGTTTCGACCAATGCACAACCGGATTCACTTCTCGTAGAGTTTCCCACGCCACTTTCACCTGAAAATCACCCCGAGCACCATTATTATCAAGCCAACGAACTTTATCCTCCCCTTGTCTGGGAGATGGAATAAGGACATTTTGCAGCTGCGGATAACGTTGAAGCCAATCCTCCAGCCAGTTAGAACCAAACCTGTGCATTACTTCAAAAACCGTAGTGTTATTGTGGAAACCCTGCCCATTGATGAATCTATACGACAAAGAATGAATAAGTGGTCCCAACTCGCTCCAAGTATCTTCCCAAGCATGCGTCGATAAGCCAATTCCCACTTCATAAATAAAGAAGCGGCGACAGTGAGGCCTTAAATCTAAGAGACTCTGAAGGATCCAAGACCACTCATTCCTCTTCTTGATAACCCAAAAGTTACGGCCCCGAACACAGTGAGATTGAATCCAAGAGACCCACATCGTATTTCTGTYCCTTAAAATATCCCAAATATGTTTGAAAAGTAGACATCTATTCCAGGTCGAAAGTCTTTTCAACCCAAGTCCCCCACTCTGAACAGGCAAGCAAATAGAATCCCAAGCAACATAACATTTACCCCTCTGTCCCTCCGCTTTACTCCATAAAAAGTTACGAAAAATCTTCTCAATTTCATGAATTGTGGCTGCCGGTACAAGAAATACCGACATCCAAAACGTTTGCATAGATTGGAGAAC